TTCTCCCGTATACGGCGCTTGGTATACGACACGCGTTTGTGTTCCAACTATATATATATATATATAGATAGATATTAATACAAGTATGCGATAAATAATATTACGTAAAAACGTACAAATATGATATTATGAAGTATTAAATAACACAAGCATAGCACTTCGCCTCTTGTTGATGGAAAAAGAAAAAAAAGTTCTTTCCGAGATATCGTACTTCGTTATAAAACGATACGTAGTGCGAGAACTTGTCGTGTATATTATGCATAGTCAAACATCATTTTCGCGAAACCGTCAATCGACGAAGATCGATTTCGCCTAGAGCACATGCAATATGTGTATATTTTATACAGGTATCGTATCATAATTTACATACTTTCAAGTCCATCAGATCATCAACTGTATACACGTATGTAACCTGAGGCTTATAAAATATATGTATCGTTTTATCTCCTGTCGTTACTCGCGCGCACGTGCGTTATCACTAGACGAGACCTATGGTTTTGATAAACGACCGTTCGCCGCGACGGTCCCGTGCCGCGGGATCACACGGCAAAAACCGACTTATTATTACTTTCTTCCGTCGCAAAGTACACGCGCACGTACCAATAATAGTAACGAGATATTATTATTCACGTCGGGAAATAACAAGGCGAGTGCACGCGGGCGCTGTTAGTGTTTGGTTATGATTAAAATGTTTGTTTTCGAGTGAGGCGCCTAAATGATCTTTTTTTTTTTTTTGTAAACTGAGCCCAAATTGTTATTCTTGTTGAAAAGGTATAATGTAAGCTGCGCCCCGTTTGTAAATTATAATACAACACTTTTAACTTATTAAAGAAAATCTAAGATTGTAAAAAAAATTCATATAGAAACATATATTAAATTAAATAGTATAAATCAACTTTTAAATACCAAAATTCTAAAACTAAAAAAAAAAAACCTGAAAAATTACAAAATTTAATTAATAAATATAATAGTGGTCAAACTCCAATTGATGAGTATGTATAAACATTATGTTATTATTTGTCCTAATATTGTACTTTTTAAAATTATATATATATATATATATATATAAATTTTTGATTTTTAATTTTATTTTATCAAATATTCAACTGTCAATATTATATGGCTGTAATATTTAAAATTAAGCTATAAAATATGGCTCTTCATTTTTAAAATTTTACCCGGTCGCAGTTTACATGTGTGATTTTGTGTTTACCTTTACCTTGGGCGCAGTTCACAATCGTCGCACATGGGCGATGGTTGGTGCTGTGGGAAGGGTTTCGGCAGTGGCAAAGATACCAAACCACGCATGGTCGTCGTTTCCACGGCGCTCGTCAGAGGGCGCGGCAACGCGGTCAGATAAAATAATAAGCGCGAAAGAGAAATAAATTACCACGGCAATGATTGGCTCGGGACGGCGGCGTCGGCGATGGTGGCACATCGCAAATCGATTGATTCCTGAAAAGCTAAACTTTTGTTCGCTCACGCTTCAGTTGATCCGGTATCGGAAATCATAAAACGGTCATTCTCCAGTGACAAATACGTAGGCATGTACATTATAGTCGCAGTGGAGCGCATATTATTTCACATTCAACACGTATTTGGCAAGGGGGGGATAAATAAGTATTATTATTAAATAAGCATATGAACCCCACCCCAAAAATTTGAAATTTTCCCGTACCTGTCTATTAATCGTAAAATCGTAATTAACAGTTAAAATGCAAACTGCATATCTTATTTGAAAGGTAATGAACAGTAGAATGTATTTTTTTTATTTTAAATGTACATAAATATTGCAATCAAAATGATGGATCATTGTAAAAGGTTTTAATTTCTGACGGAGAAGATAAGACACTTACTTCAGTTCTCTTCTCTTCCACCAACTCTATCAGTGTCAAATTCGGTTTGGTTATGCGATAACGAATGTTTTGGCTGATTTATTAGAAATAGGTACATGATGTTATAAAGTTGAGGTTGGGAGTGAAAACTTACATTATAGAATGGCAAAATCGTGTTTTATATCTGTTTAAGAGGCATTCGTCTGGATAGTTACGTCATTATATCGATGGAAATATAATATGTGAAACGTCGATGGTAAAATAAGGGTAGTAATATTTACATCGTATAACTACATTGTAGAGTAACGACTCTGGTTTTATAATAATTATGCTAATAGAAATATTAATTGTAATATAATTAATTCTAATAATTAGAATTAATATAATTATTATATTTAAATTAATTTTTACACAACGGTAGTTTAGATAGTTTCTTCCATAAGTTTAAAAAGTGGATGCCAAAGTTATATTATAAATTTTGGTTCCTATAACCCTTAATATATATTGATTTAATAATACTCTTGTATACTTTAAACACTTTGAATATTGTATTTTATACTAATATAAAATAAATTATTTTACACGTATTACTTATTAAAAAAAAATAAAAATAGCAATGTGTTATACTAACATTTTTAAATATTTTTACTTTTTTAGCGATATTCATATACCATTAATATAATTTTCTTAATATTTCGGGGGGGGGGGGGGGGGGGGGGGGGGGGGATGCAGCCCTCTCAGTCCTTCCCTCCCTTTGGCTACGCCACTGAAGGTTATACTACAACGGTCTTTCGTTTCTAGGCATAATAATATGGTTGGACGTTTCGCACAAGGTCAGACGGGATGAAAATGAAGCGACTGAGAGTGATGTGATGATAAAAAATGAGGTGCACAAAATGCCTGAACGTGGCCATCCCGAGTTAACAATGTACGCATTTATTTTTATTATTATTATTAACAGAGCGTTAAAACGGTTGTAACGTTATACGCTTGCAACTATAGTAACAGTATACGTAACACCCGTATTCATTCGTGGACATTTACCGTTCATTACTTACGCACGTCCATCCTGTTCTGACGATAAACCGTTGGCATACGTTGTAATAAATTGTGTTTTGACGCGTGAAAAGGTTTTTTTTATAATTTTTTTTCTGTTTACATAATATAAAACGATGTGGCGCATACACGCAAACATGTAGTCGATAAACTTTATTCCACCACAACAATGTACCGACCGACTGTATCGAAGGGCTCGTACAATTACAATCACTCATTCGCTGTTCAAACTCTAGACGTAGATGTATCCAATGCGTTATATTTGGACGCATATGATGGCATAATAGATTAAAATACGTACACGGTGGCATATATGATGGGCCCAAGATGCAATATGTAGTCAAATCCTTTAAGATGAAATTAGATTATTTTTCAAGACTTTTAGAATACAAATGGGAATGATACGTGTTAACTCGATAGTGGTATACATTGTAGAATATGTATACGAATTCTTCAGTTAATTTAAAACAAAAATTTTACGTTTAGTATATTTATTCTATGTTAAGTCGTAAATTAGTTAACGTTTGACTATTATCAGTAATAATAATAATAATAATAATACTAAAATAGTGCTAAAATAAATCATTGAAATATTATCTAATATCAAATAATAACACGTTTGCTGTTTAGCAAAAACTAAAAACAAATTGTTCGTTATATTGCACGTTATAAGGTTTTTGAATAAAATATAAAATATTTAAGATGCCAAATTCTGATTTGCATAAAATAGTTGATACACCCTTGTGGATACAACAAATATATTACAGTGCACATGTTACGTGTGTACTGGTGACCGTTAATGCTCGATGTATAGTTAAAGAAATGTTTTACCGTTTAACCCCGATATTTTAGTCAAAAAGGCTGTTTAACTATATAAATGTTCCAAGGATGCGCGAAATTCCATGATTACAAAAAAAAAAAAAAAGTCGACCAGAATTATGATCACCAACTGCAACGCTGCACATTCTTCTGATTGTTTCTGAATTATATTTATTACGCTATACGTGAAAATTTTCGTTTCTTATCGAATCATTCGCTGCTCTAATGCCAAGACACTGCGGAATGCATACCATACGACTCATACGATATAGTATTATGGACCGGGATGCGAACAACTAGAAATAAATGTCTTCAGCTCCAATTGAACGCGATTAGTGTAAATCGCGTAGCGGCACCGACTGCCAACGATCTGTATCTGATGGCAAATACGTTTATTGTACATCCACGAGCGCGTTTCGTATACGAAACGATTACGAGGTATAATAAAATAATTTACGCATACGATACAAAAGTGCCGATCGTATCTCGCTCGATAATTGTACATATTTATAGAGAGTCGGTCTCGACGAAAAAGTATCGAAACGAAACCGACATAACAATATTGTTGCATTGTTTCCGCATTCGCCGCGGGTCCGTTACAACTGCGTGTAGGAACGACAAAATACTGTTGTGGAAAAACATCATGGTGACATGCGGTGCTTGACTTGGGAAAAAAAATATTAGAGGTACTTCGATGACACATACAAATGTCGCGTCTCTACCTAATTGAAAACTGAATATAACCGTTTTCACTCCCTCATTACATCCTAAAACGTGTTACCACAAACCAACAAATATTCCATAACTTGTTATGCTCACGTTCGACGTTTGAACCATAAACACCAATGCATAAATATAGTTCTCCCCTCCCCTCAAATTCAGTACAAAACTGTAATTATAACAAAAAAAAAAAAAAAAAAAAAACGAACTAGAGATATTATGGAATATTCGATACTCATCATCTATCGTGTATCGATGTATTGAAAACTAATACTTAGGTATACCTTTATAAATAAATTTTTTTTTATAAAAATATTAACTTGTTGTAATCCTGTAAAATCTGAACTCAAATGAAGTACCGTGCTATGCATCTTTTTTTAAAAAAAAATTAGTAAGGATACGCTAGAATATCTGACGATTTCATCGGTGTATTCGATTCAACCCCTTCCCAAGTCAAGCACTAATAATACATGGTTCTCTAACCACCCACAGGCGATGCACTCGTTTCACGCAATATACTGCTAAACAAACGCCATACGCGTACGTGTAAGCCAAAAAATTTTTACTTACCGCTATTCTGGGACGTAGGCTTTTTATCTCCTTTGCCCATACCCCTTTCTCGTGAACGGTTAATTTTGAATGCTGTTCACACCACTCGGACGGCAAACGCAATCTGAAACAAACGATGCGCAACGATTAGTCAAAACCTCGTAAACACGTACTGCAACGTTTTTAAAGAATTATTGTTCTTGAGTGTACGACGGACACAATCGAACAAAAGTTATTTATTAGTTATTTTTCACTTTTCACCAGTACATAATCATTTTTCGAAAATCTACAAACACCTGGCCGACAGCCATACGAGGAGTCGGATATAAATCGACGACGTATTATTTATTTTTGTGTTACGATATAAGCACAGAATTTAATACACTTCAATCAGTCGTTCGGGTCATGGTTATAAAAGCATAGTATGCTTATGTATTACATAGTATTATTCTGATCCCGTCAACGGTTAAGGTTAAATTCGCGTTAAACGCACATATTTATATCGTATACGTGTAGTTCATGTATATCTGTACTTAATAGAACTCACTTTATCGTTAAAAGTCTGGTAGAAAACTACAAATACCTATAGTCATCAAAGCATTATGAAGATTTACGTGTTTACCACGCACAGATCGGACTATCGGTTATTTATATATACTTTTTTGGTTTCCGGAAAATTGAAAGTGTATGTATAGTAATTGGGGAAAATTTTGAAAACTTAAGCAATTGTTCTATCTCAATGAAATCGGATCGTTCTCGAGTTGAATAAATATTCCGATTTTTATGAATAATCTAGATGAAAAAAACTTATATATACATCGTCAGTGATCCAAAATGCTGCTTGTCATAAAGTTTATTGTTTTATTTTTTAAATAAACGTTTGTCAATAATATATTAGTAAAATATATTTTTAGATACAATTATTTCAATGATAAAACTTTGATCATGAGACATTTTATTATTATTATTATTACTACTATTATTTTTTTTTTTTACAAAGCCTGGCATACGACGTATTATCAATCCGTTCATTTAAAAATGGAAACTGAAATTAATTTCTAATGACAACAATTACTTAAGCAACCCATTATGAGCCAATTTTGTAAGCTATTATTTATAAAAACGTACTATTATAATAATGTATCATATATATATATATATATATATATACAACGATAAGATAATACCTTAAATATAGTAAGTGTGAAGAAAAAAGTAATAAACCCTTATGAAACATTCGAATTAGCTCCAACCACTTAGTTTACCATCGATTTATTATTACAAATCAAAAGCAAAGAGGGAAAATGTTTGTCTTTGTCGCCCGAAAATCCACAGAAGTGAACATAATTCCTTACGGATTAAATTACACTAGAAAATAATAACTCGGACATACCTTTTTATCCGCTCTAGTTTTCAACCTTTTTTTCTTTTTCGCCTCGGGAAAAATGATAAAACTTCATGCCAAATTTTATATAATAAGTTCATGAACATCAAAAAACCTCGGAGTGCTTTATGCTTTATTAAAATTCCAAGACTTAAGCATCGCACATCATGATATCATAACTAATGGTCTACTCTTTTAAAACCTCTGCAAATGCTAGAAGGGCAATTTAGTTTGTGAATTTCTGAACAATGTCCATGCCACAGTGTTTTCTTTTAAGGTTATCGATCTAAAACAAAACAGTGGTCTCATTCGAAAACTTCGGACAGATTTTTAGAGTTTAATCATGATTTTTCATTTCATCGGTCATAAAAAAATCAAAATATCAATTTCAAACAATACTTTTTATGATAAAAACGACACTCTATCATTTTTTTTGCATAAATTATTTATTCATCAAAGTATCTTACTAAATTGTACTAAATTGTACAAATCCTCACGTTTAATATCTTCTTCTATATCCATCACTGGAATCCTCCCTAGAATATTTAAGTGAAAATGACCCCGATATCTTTGTTTGAAAGAATCGTGTACAGTTTTATAGCAAAAAAAAAAAAAAAAAAGAGAAAATATCACATACAAGTAATAAATAATTCACATGAATATCTTGTATAAGAAACACATCACTAACCTTAAACATTTTCATTCGCTGGTTATGTTTTTTTTTCTTTTAGTCAATATTATTATTTATTTACAATTATAGTAGATTGAGACGACGTTAAAAATTTTCTGTTAGAAACGGAGAACATATTATAAGAGTATTGATCAGTGTGGTTTGATAATTTAACGTGGAATCTTTTATATTGGTTTTTGAGTGACTGCGGTTTGAGCGTAATAAACCCTAGAACTTATAAATTAAACCGAACACAAATCCTAAGTAACAGCTGACATAACTCACTAGCCAAAGTTCCGTCACTTGCTGATATTTCATCCCTCGTGTCAACAATAGCCGTCAAATAAAAATTAAAAACGTCCCTTGAGTCTATCGTGCTATAATACGTTTTTATATCCTGTAACAATAATTATCTAAACGCAAAAAATAAAATAAAAATTTACAATCGTGATAAACTTTCGCTATGGCCATTACTATTATTAATCTTTTTATGATGTAATAATAATATGGGACTCTTATCCCCCCGATGAGTAATTGACCCCACGGACTCAGTTCACGTTACGCTGGTGGAACGATAGTCACTTGACTAGTGTTCGACACATTCGACAACAGTCGAATTTCATTAGCCAAATATCAATAAATATACGTACACATTTATCCATAAAATATATGTACGCACGTCCACCCCATTGGGGTTCGGCAGTAAAAAGTTCAAGAGGTTGAGAGACACAAAGGCGCGCGACTTCAACAATGGGATTCGAATTATCTCTGGAAAAAAATTCGCGATATCGACTCGTGATTTATCGTCGATGACAAGACTTCACGGGGATCGCTGACGCGCGTCGATTTTTCCGTGATTGCCGAGCGCACGAACCGAGACGTTTATCATCGTACGCGCACAAGAATACGTAGCATAACGTCATGATACTATCCGCACAACAGTCGATACAGCTTTAAGCCGCCACCGACCAAGTACAAGAATGATTTGAAAGCGTTTTATTATTTTAATTAATTTATTTATTTTTTTTTTTTTATTTTTTTTTTTTATTTATTTATATTTTTTTCTTACAATTTAGTTATTAAACCACATATAATACACGATTCGGTGTTTCTCGACCTTTATTTGGCAAATCATTTTTGATTAGTTCTGCGAAAAGATCAAATAGTCGATAAAATATTTTCATTATAGATAGTATCTGATCGAACGATTAAAAAAAAAAAATAAATAAATAAACAAAAAAAGTATGAAACATTTTTCGTAAATTATTTTTCCCGGAGACAAGGATGGATTCACCGATTTGGTATTTTTAATGCTATAAATATGTACGGCACTATTGGTCGATATTTATGGAAAAGATGCAGTCCGACAAAGTTATTGACGATAAATTATTCCGCATTTTCAACTATCAATTATTCGAACTTTTCACATAATATAAGTAAACATTACTCGTTTCGTGCATTACACGGTGATTGTTGAAATTTAGGGTGTAGTATTGAACATTATTTTTCATATAACTTGGGTATTGTACCATGAAAAATGTTGAGAACCGTCGGAGCAAATTGAATTAGCTGCGTATTAGGTATTGAAATATCGTGAAACTACCATTTTATGTTATTTCGAGTTCAGACCTTTTTTTTTTTTTTTTTTTTATTAATAAAATATATTACAATCTGTTTACACACAAAACAATAAGTAACAATGATGATAATGATTAAGAAGACATGTAGCACATGAAAAGGAGACTGTCCAGTGACAGAACCTCAGAAAATTTGAGTTCGGACATGCAATTTTATTTTAATTTTAGATTTAGTTTAGAAGGTCTCTAGCCCAATTTCTTTTTAATCGTCGAGGAATATTAAGAGGTAATGCGAGAGAAGACATGTTGTTAATAATGGGGTTAAAATGGTTAATTAATTTGGAATGGAATTTTTTATAGTAGCTTTTAGCAAGTTCATTTACTGTTTGAAGTTTTAAGTCATTATGGAGAGCTGAATTTGTGATATACCACGGAGCACCGGTTAAGAGCCTTAATGTGATGGATTGGAAGGCTTGGATAGGGCGGATGTAAGCTGGTTTTGCTGGACCCCATATTTGAATACCATAGGTCCATAATGGTCTTATGATAGATTTGTAAATTAATATTTTATTTTAAAGATTTATTTTCGATTTTAGAAGAGGTCGGAGTAAATGAAGGCGGCAGTTGAGTTGTTTACGTTTATTTTTTGTATGATTTGCCCAAGTTAGCCTCTTGTCTAGAGTGATACCTAGGTATTTAGTTGAATGATGTAGTGGAATTGGTTTGTAATTAAATTTGAGTGAGGGACATTCTTTTTTCTTAAGGGAAAAGTTAACCTGTGCGGATTTATTGTCATTAATTTTAATTTTCCAGTTTTTTGCCCAAGACTCAATTAAATTTAAGTGCAATTTTAAGTTGTATGAAACGGTGTCTGAGTCATTATTTGAAGCAAATATTGCTGTGTCGTCAGCAAATGTGGCGAGGAGAGTTTGATTCGAAGTGGGCATATCAGAGGTATAGATATTATAAAGTAAAGGAGAGAGATCACTACCCTGAGGAACACCTGCCTTGATATTTTGGATAGTAGAAAATTCATTTTTGTGGCGTACTGAAAAAGACTGGTTATAAAGATAGGATTTAATTAAAAGAAAGTAAGGTGAAGGGAGAAAGTCCTTAAGTTTGAAAAGAAGTCCGTCATGCCAAACGCGATCAAAGGCCTGTGATAAATCAAGAAATACTGCAGGGCAAAATTGTTTTGACTCGAAACAGGGTGAAATCTTATCTACGATTCTGTGGATTTGTTGAGTTGTATTATGTTTTCGACGAAATCTACACTGAGATTTAGATAAAATATTTTGTTGGTCAATAAGTGACGAGATTCTATGTAAAATTAGTTTTTCGAAAAGTTTTGCAAATGTAGGTAGTGAGCTGATTGGGCGATAATAACTTGTGAGATATTTAGGCTTGTTTGGTTTTGAGATCATGATAATAACTGAATGCTTCCAGGTTGAGGGGAAGTACGACAAGCGTAGCATGGAATTATATAGATGGGTAAGGAACATAATTGACTTTTTAGATAAATTCTTTGCTATTTTATTTGTGATTTCATCATGACCAGGAGCTTTGTTAGGCCGAAGCTTTTGAATGACTGTTACGATTTCGGATGGAAAAATCGGTTTGGCAGGAAGGGACATGAGTAAGGGAGAAGACAAGAATGAGTTTACTAGGTCAGTGTTGTCTCGCATAGAGATGACTTCTGGATGAGGAGAGAAAGTTGAAAATAAGTGGGTTCCAAAGAGATTGGCTTTCTCTAAATCAGTGATAGCTAATGATTTGTCGGAACGTTCAAGAGGAGGAATATTTTCACGTTGATTTGTTAGCTTTTTTGTCATTTTCCAGAGGGAGCCTTTATTAGGAGACAAAGTACTTAGGTATAGACTAAATTGTTCAGATCTATATTTCACTAATTGAGATTTGAGATTGTTTGATAGGTGATTGTAAGCAGTTTTGTGTTCAGGGTATTTCGATCGTTGCCACAAGGATCGAGCACGACGTTTGGCTTTTATAAGATTGGCTAAGTATGAGGGGAGCGAGATGTGGGATTTAGATTGATTTTTTTTTGAGTTGGTCAAGGAAGAATGAGAAACTGCATTTTGGATAGTTATTGCTAATTTGGAGATTGCTAGGTCAATATCGAGAGGGCATTTTAGAGGAGTATTTAGAGACAAAGATTCGTCTAATTTAGCTTGAAAAAGTTTCCAGTCTACAGGGCCGGATGAGAGAAACTGGTTAGTAGTGATAGAGGCAATTTTAGCGTCTAAAGTTAATAAAACAGGAGAATGGTCGCTTGATAGGTGGTTAAAGTTTGTTATAAATTTGTTTAAACTATTTGGAATCCGTGTAATAAAAAAGTCGAGAATGTCAGGGGATCTGCTTGCATGTGAAAGCCAATAAGTTGGTGCATCAGGGGAGATAAATGATAATTTGTGTTTTAGAATTGATGTATAAAATAGCCTGCCTCTTGTATTAGTATATCTACTGCCCCATTGAGAATGCTTGGCATTAAAATCACCGCCTATTATAAGAAAGTTGCCTAGGCTATGGAAAAAAGAATGAATTTTGGGTTCAGAAATAGGTTAGTTTGGAGGGAAGTAGGCTGAAGATATTGTGATGTTGAAATTATTTATTTTAATTTTGATATTAGCAGCTTGTAGGTATGATTCATTTGTGCTAGACATTTCGTTGTAAAAGAGTGAGGATTTTATAATTATTGCAGCCCCTCCATGGGACGTTCTATCAGGGTGATCAGCTCTAATAAGTGAGTAACCATTGAAGCTAATATTGGAAGTAATGGATAGGTGAGCCTAGTTATAAGGGCAATATCAATATTTTTATGATGAAGAAGGTAAAAAAGTTCATTGGAATGTTGTTTTAATCCATTAGTGTTTCAGAAGAAAATTGATAAGGAAGAGGCATGATTTATTGAGTTTGAAGTCATTTTTTGTCTAGGACTTTGTCAATTATTTTTGTAAGAAGTGTTATGAGAGGGGTGATTAATGTTTTTTAATGATTTTAGGTAATTTATAAATGATGTAAGTTGGTCAGTTAGTGGGGAAATAGAATCTAATTGTGGTTGATTATTATTTGCTGTATGTTTTTTATTTTGAGTTGCCTGAGCGTAGGATAAATTAGTAGTAATAAGGAAGCTTTGATTTTCTGAGGCACTGATTGGACTGGGGTGGGTAGTTACATTAGTATTATTTTCGTAGACTTTGTTGTTGTTGTTGATATGGTGATTGTTGTTTACTTTGGAGTGACGGTTGTGATAAGTTTGGAGATTTTTAAGAGCTGGACATCCCCGATAATTTGCTGGATGATCGCCAAAACAAAGGGCGCATTTAGTTGGAAAGTCCTTGCTTTTCGTACAAATGGTTAAACTGTGATGATCACCACAACGAACGCATCTAGGTGTACTGTGACAGTAAGAACGCGTATGGCCATAATCTTGGCAATTCATACATTGAGGTATTTGCTTTGTTGGTTTAGGAGCTTTGACTTTGATTTTTGTGTAACATAGATATTGTAATTCAAAAATTTCTTTATTGTTAATGGCTGGTTCGAGGTCAACAAAAAATAGTGGTAAAGGAGCTTTTAATTGATAATGAAGTACATTTGTTATATTCCGAGCTAAGAACCCATGGTTACCCAAGTCTTCTTTGATAAAATCAATTGCAGTGGTGGGGTTGAGATTTCTTATAACTAATAACTACACGATAAGGTTTATCATCATGTAGTTGGAATGTATAGAAGTTTACATTTTTTTGTTTGAGGTACTTTATTACCGTTCTATATGAATTGGGATTAGATGTGTTGAGTTTTAAGCTGTTTGATATAGTTTTACACAAGAATTCCAAGAGTGAAGTTTGTAGGTTACTAATTTCTTCGCAAAAAGCTTGGTAGTTATTAATAATTTATTTAATAAATATTGGTGGCGGAGCTTTTATATTGATAACGTCATTTTCGACAGCCATTTCGTTGTCGTTTGAAGTATTATTTACTCTTATATTCGTGTTGTTCGTATCGATGCACAAAGGGCTAAAACGGTTTGGAGTAGAAAATATATTTTGAGAATTATTTTGATGATTTGATATTTTTAGATTGGGTGACAATCCAGGAGAGTTTAGACATTTTTGATGAGAAGATATTTGCCAGTCGTTTTCATTGTCTGATGATTTATTTGGGGAGTTAATATTCGTTTGATTTGATAATGATTTAGATATTTTAGATTTTTTTTACGGGGATGCCGTTTTCTTTTCATTATTGCTTTTATAATTTGAACTTGTTGGTTTACTATGAGAGGAACTCATAATAACAAAGATATGATAATGATGTAGATAGGGAAATTATTTAATAATTTTCCTTGGATATGATAATTATACATTACCGGCGATTACAGAAGTTACGCGATGTGTGCAAGGCACCGCGACGAGCACTATGACTTGCTATCGAGAGCAGATAAAAGCGGATCACAGTACGAATATTTGTGTGGACTGTACGGTGTCGTAACACAAACTGAGTTCAGACCTATAATACAAAATTATCTAAGATATTTCAAGAGTTTAATTTTTGTTTATAAATAAATGCTTGGGAGCAAGAAAAAAAATGGGATAATTGTAAGTGCAATATTAAATGTAACGAAAAAATGTTGAAACAAGAATATTCGAATAATCCGACTTGCTCGTATATTGAATAATTGAACCAGACGCACATTATATCCGTACATAGTATATTTTTTTATATAATAATTCAACTTTTTAAAGCCTAGCCATGTAATATATATTGTTTTTATAATTAAAGCTAATTTATAAAATTCACAAATGATTTTAATTATTCTATAATTATAAATATAATTTATACAATTTAAGTTGATTTATAATATTTGCAATCTATTCTACACTGAGTTACTCAATTCTAAAATGACTTAAGTCAAAACTTTTTGGTATACTACAATCAGAGTGTTATTTTGGTGTGCATAAACGTTTAAATGGCCAGGTATTCCAACTCTATAAAATGCTACGTACAATTGTCCATGTGAGAAATAATTAATTTCCATATCTACTCCACAATGTGCTAAAATCTGACCTTGCGCTTTATTTATTGTCATCGCGAAACCAACTTTTATTGAAAACTGAACTTGGAAGTGAACTGGAAAATCGTTGAAGTGTAATGGAATTTTCGATAAAATATTTTTTTTCCTTTAGAACTTCCCGTCAAAATTTCAGCTTCAATTACATTTTTTGTATAAGAAGTGACACGGAGCCTAATCTAATTAATTATAAAAGGGAATTCGTATTTCTCAATAATATGATTGGAACTCCGAGCTTTAGTGATATTATATGAGGAGGCATACCAGAAAGTATTTTTGAACTATATAACTTTGTAGAGAAATGTATTGATTTTTACTACCAACATCTGTGTGGATAGAAAAGTAATACATTTCTATTGCTTAAAATCCAATAATTATTATATTAGTGATTATATTGATATTAGTGATTTATATATTAGTAAGTATGATATATATTAGTGATAGTGATATTAGTGATTTTATGGTTTCAGTTCAGGTTTTTGTAATCGTTAAAATAACACGTTCGCATAAACATCTACTACTTTGATTTTTTACATTTTTAGTATCTAGGTACATATTTTGCATGAACTGTTCTAACGAATTCGTCGATATTGCTAGTTATTTTACAATTGTAATGTTACCATTCTTATCATTTACAGTTCCACTACAAATTTGTAAGAATAACCAAGACAATTCTCCTGCATATACATCTCCTGTTTATATAACTCAGACATTTATAGCAAGAGATAATTGTTTGACTTTCGATCATATCATAGATAACTTTAGGCTCACATTTATTTGATTTGATCGTATTCATCGTAGAACAATTATGTTTGTCAAAAATCTTCCAAAAACACACAATTTATCCTTCTATAATTTTATATGATGAACAAATATCACGTAGAGTTCAATCTAAAGCTTCAATGCCCAATTTATGAGCCATTGTACATTCATCCAACGCAATTGAAATACTATCGGTTAATACTTTAATTTATGCTAATTTTTTTTATAATACAAAGTGGGGTTTTGTTAAGTCTATTGGAAGCTTGAACATCGAATTTGCAGTCTGTACACTGTAGATTAACATTGTTACTCTTCCCAATGATGGCATATTTATAGTACTTTTTCATTACTATCCGATTTTTACAAACAGCATATTAATAACAAATATCTTTCCAGTACTCCAGGAGCATCGAAAAACATCAAACTTTAAGGGATTAACATTATTTGTGTTTTGTTAGTCCGTTTTTTTCCGGTATTTAAATATTTATGCGAATTATGAATTTTTTTTCAAATATAATATTTTATAATAAATCTTATTTTAAAAATTAAAATATCTGATTAAAACAATCAATAAAACATAGGTTATATTCTTGCCTTAAAGTTTGATTATAGGTCAATATACTCTAATATTAAAGTTAACATCACTGCATTTAAACTACTGAACGATAATTTGCTATATTGTACATTTGTTAAACAGAGAAAACACACGTGGGTATGACGTCTTCTTTAACGATCAAATTTGCATTTTTTTTATGCATCAGAAAAATGGAAAATAATAGTTTACTAAGAACAGTATTTAGAACAACATTATGAAAAAAATCGTTAAATTATTTAAATTCTACTCTGAAAAAAACTGTAAAATTAAAATAAAAACATCCATCTACCTTCTCCGCCATTTGCTAAAATTTATAAAAAGTGCACAGCCATAACTTATAAAGAGTTATTGGTTACGATTTTGCAAAAAAAAATTTGAAATTATTCAAATATCTCGTTGAAAAACTATAACCTTTAAATACAATACACTCTCTCTCATCTATCTTTAGACGATTGAAGTAAAATATTGGTTAATAAAATGAAACGTAAATAACTCCTACGTTCAATATTAATAACTGCATCACAATTCCTGTTCCAAAAATCGATAGAGGGCCTTTGGACCCAGCATTCATGATTGTTGCTATAGTTGAGAAAAAAAAATGAGATGTAGTAGCATCTGATGAGTAGCAACTGAACATAGTTTAATTAAAGAATGGTTAAGTTTTGGAAATGTGCAGCGTATCACAATACATTTCATATTTGCTGATAAATTTGACAAGCAAAACGAATTAACTTTACGTAAAACAGTTAAATTATAACTCAAGGTCAAGGATTTTTCAGTTGTACATGCAAAAGTACTGGTCAAACTAAACGTTGTTCTTGTTTTAAAATTAGTATTAAATGTAACAGGCCTTACCATAACTCATTAAATTGTTTAAACAAATAATTATTAACTATATGATAAATAATATTATATGCAAATTATTAAAATGATAATATAATTAATTTAATTACCTACATGTAACTATTATTAATTATATCAAAACTTAACTTAATATAATATACTTATCATATTATACAATATAACAAGCGAAAATTATTATAAAACCATTACAAATACAAAATATAATTTTGGTACACAAAGTGAACGACCAGATTGTGAAAAAATTACACGATGTCAAATAGGAGTGAGCATATCATGAAAAAATGAACATTAATGAAATATTTTCGTATTTCACGAAGTGTTAAAAACGTTGCAATTCGTTTGCGCACATTCAACATATTTTACCTGAAAATCGACGACTCGTTTGCGCACAACAAAATCGGTCGTTTACTTGAAAATAGATATCTCGTTTACACATTCACACACATGACACGTGTATACATATATCGTCACAGACTGCAGTACAAATGATCAAATATATTATCTTAATATTATCTTATAATCGATTGTGTAGACTGTAGATTATATAAATTTGAATTTTCCTGACAAATTTTAGTAAAGTTTCGGTAGGAATGGTGTGTTGACGATGCAAACTTTAATATGGCATAGAAATTTCAAATATTTTTGAATCTCCGTGAAGAAAATTATGTTTTAATAGTGATAATTATAAATTTAGTGAAAACCGTGTTTTAATGAGTGGATGTTCAAATTTTAGATGCACTAATAAAAAATGTACTGCGAATGTTATTGTTAATACATCAAACAAAATAATAAAAGTAACGAACTTTCATAATCATGAGGAGTATAATAATCAACGATATTAAGCAAACGAGTTCTGACACTTGGGATTTTCGTCACAGGTAGCCAAAATATATGTGCGCAATCAAGTTGTGCATTTTTGCGCAAACGAGTTGTAAAAAAGATAAATTTGCGTTGTAGCCGTTAAAAAGCCGTTTCCATTTCATGAGATAATCAACTTTTCATGAAATGATCAATTTCATTAAGTGGCTACGACATAAATATAGATATGACGATATTATGTGATTTTAATATGATTAAAATGAGTTTTTGGTTCAGAGTTAACATCCAAATTGATAGAAGAAACAATAATGTGTATTTTACCATCTTATGTTGTAATCGTTTTTAATTGAGTAATTTGTGTTTTCGTGTTCAAACATATTATTTTAAGTAATTTATCAACATTTAATTTAAAGTGCGTAAACTACATGGCGTTGACTAAAATTTGAAATTTGATAAAATTTCACGAACTTATATTTATAAATATGTTGTGTGAACTCAGATTTCTTTTCACATACCGATAATCTATACATTTTTTTTTTTTTTGTGTATGGAAAATGTTTGTACATTCTTGAAAGAAAAAAATTCTTTCACATGTAAAACACTTATCATAAATTATTATATCATGCAGGTTATTTGCTAATAATATTTTCAAAAATAAATAAAAAATTTAATGTTAGTACCTTATAATTATTATACATTTGGATTTATTATGAACAAAAAAATATAATTTTGCGTACCCATTAACGCATAGATTTGTCTTTGTAGGATTCGGACACATATGACGCAAAAACAAGGCACAAAAAAAAAACCACAATACAACAAAGCAGATGATATTATACGTTTATACTTGGGTATAAATTCATACACTGTTGTGCTTCAAAGCTGATAGAAAAATAATAGCTTTTAGTACGGTCGTGATATGTTCGATAACAGTGTAATAATGTCAAATAAACACGGAATAAATACAGAATAAATAAGGAAATTTGTATAAATAAATAAATATATAAAAATATATTTAAATATATTAAAAATATCCTTTTAGCAGTACCAGTTAGGTTCGGTACACAGAAGATATAATACTTTTACCATTGTCACTGGACAGACGGTATCTATGGTTATTGCAGCGTTAAACAATCCGCCATCACCTTGGTACGGCAGCAACCGTTTAACACGAAAATCCTAGTATTTCAAAAAGGATATGATTTACATCCTTTAACGGGATGTGTGTGCGTTTGCGTGTATAAGGGGGGAAGGAGGGGTAAGAGTATGGCATAATAAGGCTGCAACGCGTACGGTGGGATTACACGCTACGGCAACCCAACATCGGTTTGACATTCTATCCTAGGAAATTTGGGTGTTGCCCGTAAAACTGCGTGCACGGAAACGAGTGAAAACCGC